AAATTGATTTTTAATAATTAATGCGAATATATCTGATATATTATTTATCTAAGATAAAAAATTTTATAGTGGCTTGATGGCTAGCCAGCTTAGCCAGCTAAGGTTTTTTTAATGGCTGATATCACTACTAAAATGTTGCAAAAATCGGTGGATATGAATACTTTTTTCCTGTTCTAATATAGCGAGTCTGGTCTCAAGCTCTATATTCTTTTGCTCTAATTCCTCGACTCTAACATCACACTTTTCATTCTCCTCAATAATCTGCTTCAGCTTCGCATTCTCCTTTCTAAGCTCAGCAATCTCAGCTATAAGTTTGGAATTCTGTTCTTCTAGTGTATCGACTTTGGATTGTGCATCTGCCATTGTTTTATACAAGATATGGATATGTTTAAAAGTTCGAATTCACATGATTTGATTGTTTCCTTAGGAAACAGTTTTTAATATATACACATATACATCGGAATTACGTGAAAAATAACACATGATATGTTGTACACAAAAATCTTTATTGATAAAATATGTGATAATAATACAGGATAGGGCGTAGCCCATTAACGTTTTACATGATCGTAAATTAATTCAAATTAGGTGTTAGCAATAACAATATATCAGAAAAAAAAATGCATTAAATAAAGTTTCTGCTTTTAGACCTAATTTATACAAAATCCAGATTTATTGTATTATATAACATTTATTAAAGTTAATATGTGCTGATTAAATGATCCGATTTTTTTGTTACATGATTACGAAAAAAAAAAATGCTCATATGCGAAAAGATCCTGTGATAAGCAAAATAGTGTATCCTTTATGGGGTTTTAATGATAGAATCTTCTTCTGAAGAATCCTTGTTTTGTTGTGTAGAGTTGGACTTCTTTAAGAAAGTACGGCTTATTCCGTGAATATTCACCATTATTCCATTCTAAATATACATTAAACTTAGAAGTAGTGTCTAATGTTGAAAGACTAATTTTTAAATTTCAAAATTCTTACTCGCAGAACTAGCAATGCATGTACAAAATCTTCAACTTCTTCTAATGACGCATTATGAAAAGGAATCTTAGCTTTGGCAATAGGGAGATAAAACTTTATACCATTTTCTCGCAAAAATCCATTTATAACAATAAAATGCTCATCTAATTATTATAAAAATTATTAGAAAATAGGTTATTATATATCTACATTGCAAAATAACAGTACGTTTTACCTGTAATATTAATACTGAACGTAATACAAAATTTATTCAGTTCATTCTTATTAATTTTTTTTGACATATCAACATATCCATCTACACAAAAACGAGCCAACTTGTTATGATCATTATGGGATTTTATTTCTGTTGACCTCCATTTTCCACTTTCTAAATACGCAAGCTTGTTCCATCTTCGTTTGAAAAATACCCGGACCATTAAGTCTGGTTTATTCCCCCTTGATCCAATAACTTGTTTTGTCTTCCGTTTCTTACTTGCCATGCTTTGGCGCTCATTTCTTGTCACCTCAATATCAAATTCAATTGGCATTTGATATAACGATGCCTCCATAAGGTGTGTAATAGCATCAACAAGCACATTCTCCAAACCAGGGTTGGCAAATTGACTGGTCCATTGAGAACAGATGGATTTTGGACTGGTCCATTGCCATTAATAGAATACTAAATATGGTTAAGGTGTTACACTAATGGACCCAATGGACCACCAATAGACAATCAATGGACAGCACATTTGCCAACCCTGCTCCGAACCGCTGGAAACTCGACAAAGAACATTTCTTTTTATTTCTTGCAAAAGAATATCTGTGATGTTTACCGCTACTTGCACTCTATCTACTCCCCTCTCCACCCAGCGACCGTGGCTTAATACTTCTGATGGCGAAATAATGAACTTGTACTGGTTCCAAATTTCGTCCCAAATTTCGTCCCAAATTTCGTCTCTTTTAGTAATAAAGTCCGCACACGCCCCCTTTACCAAAGGATCCTTTATCAAATTTTTTATTCCGCTTTTCTCGCCCTGTGTTAATAATTCCCGAACACGTATGTTATTGAGAATGATCGGCATAATTTTTTGTGCGAATAAAAATAAGTTACTCACTACAAGAACTTCATAGTCATCTTCTATTATCTGGTATTGAGGGGATCCAAGGTCAACTATACCATTAGCTAATGGGTTATCATAGGTTAAATCATTAATATCTACTACTCGTATCTTTTCAAGAAGGCGTCTATGTTCCAATGTGTTTGCATCCTGATAATTTGGAATTAGTAATGTGATCTTTTATATTCGGTTCCCAGTAAAATTAATAAATATGCATCTAAATACCTGTAAGTTTCCTTTTAATCTATTGATGTTAGATACAGCATGTAGTTTCCAATTCGGAGGCTCATCGGTCTCAAATCTTTACAGAAAGAATTGTTAGATTCATTTTTCTTCTGTGTATTTCATTCTAGAAAACATTTACCGAATTAAGTCATCGTCTACTAAAAATTTTAATTCTTTCCATATACATCGCATCTGAAAGAATAATATTTATAGTACGTTACTAAATACCAGAAAATAAAAATCTATAGTCTATTACAAATTGTGCAGATCAGAGATTTTTCATTCAGGAAGCATGCTATTATGGTACCATCACTAAAATATTTTCTTATTTCATAAATCATCATTTACATAACACAAAGCTGGTACTTCTCGCAAATGGTTTATGGCCAGTCGCCATCGCTTACATAACTTCTTTTTACAAAGCTGGTACTTCTCGCAAATGGTTTGTAGCCAGTCGCCATCGCTTACGTAACTTCTTTGCATAAGTAATACAGTCTGACAAGTAGCTCAATTTTTTTTATCATCATATCTATCGAAAAATAATATTGGTGAATGGTATGTACTATACCTTATTAATATCTTGTAATGATATGAGGCATTGCTTTCTACCATTATCAAGATTTTCCATTTCCAACTCTTCTAAATCCTCAAAAGGCTGTCGCAATCATTATCTTCTGATTGTATATCACTATGTTTCCATAGCTCATGGAAGACTCTAGAAATTGCAATTTTATCAAGTGGTTCGTTTCGTAAAAAATCTTTTAAGTGGTTGAATTCGTGAGAAGTCATTATGAGTTGAAGGTTAAGAATTTTTTTGAGTTATATGTGTGAGAAAATAATTATGCAGTGTAGTTGATCAAATGCAATTTTTTTTCTTAATCAATCAGCAGGTCACACAATTACATCATGCATGAAAAGTTCTATGACCTTCTGTGGTATACATCTGTGTTACGCTTATTTCGGAAATTTGGTCATAGTAACAATCAGGGGTACCCAACACATGATAAATGTTGATCGAACATCTGTATTACACAATTGATTTTTCAGGCATAACAACATTTTCATTAACTTAGAAATAACAAAAAATGAATATACATGAGGTAATTAATTGAATTTGGTTAATCACACAAATAAATATGCATAAATTATATAGTTACAAGTATTCAGGAAACCAAAAATTTATGGGTCGTACACAAACAATTATTATTATTATGTTTAAAAAATAAGAATTCGAATGATTCATTTTATTTAAATGATTTAATCAAGTGAAATAAAATAAATATACATGGATATGGATAATAATAAATAATATTGATTTTTTACGGTAGAGTTGCAAGGGAGAGAACGTACGGCCCCTAGACCATTCAATGTACGCCCCTATACTTTGGCTCTACCAGGTGAAAAAACTATTTACTATTATTGTTATAATCTATTCTTTTGTTAGAATTGTAGTCGTTACCATCACTATTCATGATTTTATTTTTTTCTTTAGTTTTAAACGCAATCCAAGCCTTTATCACGCCGATGGTTCTGGCGTCGGGTTTTGTTGTTTGATTATAAAAACTTTCAATAGCCTTGAATCTGATAACTTTTATTTTTGTTTGTTTTTTTAGATCACTCATAACTTCATTAATCATATCTGATTTAGTATGATCGTTTTCTTCCATAGTTTCATTGAAAAGGATCTTAAAATTTTGCACAATTTCAGAATTTGAAGATGATGATCGATTCGAAGCTGGAACAGATAAATACAAAACGGTTAGCCCTGGATCATTGACATGAAAGGCTTAAAAAAATAAAACGCTTACCTTGGGAACTATTTGTCAATTCACTAGAAGCATCTCCCGAAATTTGTTTTTGTTGCATCTCTTCATATAGCAATTGAATTTTTTCAGTAAGGTCATCAAATTTTTGATTAACTTCTTCGGATAGAAGTTTCTACGCATCTTTTAGTGAAGTAAGAGTGATGTCAGTTTCCCGTTTTAAATTATACAGAGCAAAGCATGCAATTACAATGATTAGGTAAACTGGGAATTTTCCTTCGATAATCCACGGGTACGTATTACTTTACCGACAATCACTTTACCGACGTATTATTTTACCGACAATCATTTTACCGAAAGTTCAT